CAATAATTCTTCTCCTGCGTAAGTGACGATGCCTTGGATGCAAAATCCGAAATAATAGCAGCAGGAACATAAATATGTATGGCAAAACTGTATATTTGCAAACCATCTCTGTTCTGATTTGAAATTTAGCAATCAACTAGTAGTAGCAAGAAATTAATCCTATCATGATTTTACAAAAGAATCAATAACGACAGAAAGAGGAGAAAAACTGAACTTCTAATTGTAATGGGTAAAAGTAATACCTAATCCGATTGGAGGGATGAAAGAAGAGACACTTTGGTCTTGTCTCAATTGATGTATAACCTATTAATACATATTCTAGAAATGTGAGAAATTTTGTGCACTTTAATATTCTACAAAGAAGAGACACTTTAGTGTATCGATCTAGCAAAGTTAAGATAGGGAATAAAGATCTTCCAGTTGATCTCTTATTGTTTAAGTTAATAGCTTTGTCATAATATTGGAAATGAATTAGTTATCTCAATATCACGCATCTCTCGACTATAATAGGAAGATAGTGAACTTTAATTTGTCGGAGGAGCAAAATTCCAATTTCGGAAAGACGAAATTCAGCTCCATATAACCTTGTGACAATACTTAGTGCTAGGCATATATTACATAAGTGATGTTGTGGTTACTTAGCTTTTGTAAGAGATGTAAGCTCTCCGAAGCCAAAGATAGAAGATGTGCCGATTGTGAATAAATTTTCAGATATGTTTCCGGAGGAATTGCTCGGGTTTACCTCCGAAGAGACAGATGGAGCTTTGCATAGATGTTGTGCTTGGAACTTAGTCAATATCAATGCCACCTTGTATAATGGTATTAGCTAAGCTTAAAGAGCTGATGGAGCAATTGCAAGATTTACTTGACAAAGGGTTCATTAGGCCTAGCATATCACCTTGGGGTGCACTAGTGTTGTTTATAAAGAAGAAGGCCGGCTCTTTACGCCTTTGTATTGACTATAGGTAGTTGAATAAGGTCATAATTTGTAATAAATATCTATTGCCCAAAATTGATGATCTATTTGACCAATTGCAAGGTCTCAATTCTTTTATAAGATAGACTTGAGATCGGGATATCATCAATTGCGTATAAGGAAGTAGGATATCTCAAAAATAGCATTCAAAAATAGATATGAACGTGATGAGTTTCCTTGTGATGTCCTTTGGACTCACTAATGCTCCAGCATCATTTATGAATCTCATGAATCGAGTGTTCAAGCCATTCCTTGATAGCTTTGTGATATTATTCATAAATGACATTTCGATTTATTCCAATAGTAAAGAAAAGTATGAGCGAGCACTCGCGAATGGTACTTCAAACCTTGAGGGAGCACTAGTTGTATGCTAAATTCTCTAAGTGTGAACTTTGGCTAAATGGTGTTGGTTTTTTGGGATATGTAGTGTCAAAGGATGGGATAGAAGTGGATCCAAAAAAGGTTGAGGTGGTTACTCATTGGCTAAGCCCAACATCCGCTACTAAGATTCATAGTTTTCTTGGTTTAGCTAGATATTATAGGCATTTTGTGAATAACTCGCTCATGAATAGCTGCTCCATTGACAAAGTTGACTCAAAGGAAAGTGAAGTTCAATAGATAGATGTATGTGAGCGGAGCTTTCAAGAGCTCAAGACTCGTTTGACCACGAGCTCCGAGTGTTAGCACTACCATCGAGTTCCGGTAGGTATGTAGTTTATTGTGATGTTTCAAGAGTTAAATTAGGGTGTGTGTTGATGTAACATAGAAGAGTTATGACCTATACTTCTCATCAATTAAAGAAACATGAGCATAATTACCCTACTCATGATTTAGAGATGGCAATAATTGTCTTCGCTTTAAAGATATGGTGACATTATTTATATGAAGAGACATGTAAGATTTACATAGACCACAAAAGTTTAAAGTATATTTTCGATCGGAGGGACTTGAATTTGAGACAAAGGTGGTGGATGGAGTTGCTAAAAGATTATGATTGGTCTATATTATATCATCTAGTAAAAGCAAATGTGGTAGCAGATGCACCGAGTAGGAAGTCAATTGGGACTTCGACTCATATAGCGAGTTGAGAGGAGGTCATTGATCCAAGAATTATATAAGCTACATGATCATAGGATTCAATTAGACATTAATGATAGAGGAATATTGTTAGTCGACATCAATATACGACTTGTGCTCCTAGATCGGATCAAAGCAAATCAAGCTAAGGATGAGCAACAAAAAAAGATTAGAGATAGAGTTGTTAAGGGTGATAGCAAAGAGTTTAGGATGGATAGTGCTGGTATACTCCGACTTGGTGTTAGGCTATGTGTTCTCGATGTGGAGGATTTGAAGAAAGAGATTATGGAAGAAGCACATTGGTTTGTATATACGGTACATCCTGGTTCAACCAAGATGTATCAAGATTTGAAAAAGAGTGTGCTTGGTCGAGTGGAATGAAGAAGGACATTATAGATGTCTAGTATGTCAACAAGTGAAATTCGAGCACCAAAAGCCTTTTAGGTTGCTTCGGGAGCTATCTTTACCGGAATGGAAGTGGGAAAATGTAACAATGGATTTTGTGGTAGGGTTACCTCGTACTCGCTAAAGGTTATGACTCAATATCGACGATTGTGGATAGGTTGACGAAGGCGACTTACTTTATACCTATGAAGACTACTTATAAAGTAGCTCGGTATGCTTAACTATACATTGATAAGATAGTGAGTCTTCATGAAGTACCTGTATTTATAGTATCATATAGGGGCACACAGTTTATATCACATTTTTAGAGGAAACTCCAATAGGCATTGGGTACTCGAGTTGACTTTAGTACTCGCTTTTCATCCGCGTGACAAATGCTTAATCAAAGCATACAATCCGGACAAGTAAGGACATATTGAGAGCATCCGTTATAGTTTTCAAGAGTAATTAGTAGCATCGTTTGCCATTGATTGAATTTGCCTATATTAATAGTTATCGATCAAGCATTGAGATGGCTCCATATGAGACATTAAATGGCGGAAGATGTAGGTCTCCTATCTATTAGAAAAAAGTAGGAGATAGAAAGTTGTTGGGTTTTAGAGATTGTACAAGTGACTATGGAGAAGGTAGCATTGATCAAGGAATGTCTTAGGACGACTCATAGTAGGTAAAAGAGTTATGCAAATCTAAAGAAAAAGCATCTTGAATTCGAGTATAGGTGATCACATATTTCTTAAGGTGTCACCAATGAGGGGGATTATGAGATTTGGGAAGAAAGGAAAGTTGTCTCCTAGGTACATTGAACCATTCGAAATACTAGAGAGAGTGGGAGTAGTGGCTTATAGATTGGCCCTTTCATTAGATTTTTCGAGGATCCATCCGAGTGTTTTATATATCTATGTTGATGAAGTATATGGCGAATCCTTCACATATAATTCAATCGCAAACTATTTAGCCGAGTGAGGATTTGAGTTATGTAGAGCAACCAATTGCAATTGTGGATCGATAGGTTTGCAAACTTTGGTCTAAAGAGATCATTTTAGTTAAGGTTCAATGGAGAAATCATTCCATTAAAGAGGGCATGTGGGAATTAGAGGAAGAAATGCAAGATAAGTATCCACATTTATTTCAAATTCAAGGTATGTAGTCATTTCAAAATTCGAGGGAAAATTTTTTTATAAGGAGGAGAGAATGTAATACCCATAAAACCAAGTAAGTGAGTTAAATAAAGGGTCTAAGTGAGGGGTGATAGGGTAGTTTCACAAGTTAAAAAAGAGAAAAAGAAACAAAAGAGAGGCTGAATGGTTTCAAGTGAAACTAGTTACAAAGAAAAACGGGGAAAGGAAGGAGAAGACTTACCAGCAGCCACCAACTCCGACAACGGTAGGAGTAAAGTAGTGCGAGTGAGAAAAAGAAAAATAAAAATAAGAAGATAATGAAGAGGAGAGAAGAAAGAAAGAGAAAATAAGAGGAAAAGAGATTTATTATGTTTGTTTTTGAAAGTTTTAGCTAACAATAACATTAATTAGAGATGTATTATATGTAATTTAGTATATTGCATCTTAAATTAGGAATTAGAATTAGAAATTAAGGTTTGATTAAAAATTAGGGTTTATGCAAGTCTAGAAATTTGGAGAAAATGAGTGAATAGGTAATTAAGGATTCAATTAAAGTTGAATTTTAATTTATTATATTTTAATTATTGTTATTTATGATAAATATAAATTTATGATAGTTGTAAGAGAGGATTTGGCCGAGGAAACCGTCTAATGAGGAGACACTTGCATTTTAAGAGTGTTCATCTAAAAATTTTTTGTAATTATTAGTTAGTAGAAAGTTTAGTTAAAAAAGTGAAGATACTTATTTTGTGGATTTTATTTTGAAATAATAAAATTGTTAGTTGGTTTGGTATTGACCAAACAGTGTAATATATATATATATATAAAATGAGACACTCTGTTTTTTTGCTTCATACTCTGTTTTTAGTTTCTCTCTCTAAAACTTCAATTTTCTTCTTTTCTTGCCCATATATATATATATAATGAGACACTCTGTTTTTCGTCTCTCTCTAAAACTTCAATTTTCTTCTTTTCTTGCACATGAACTGATATTTTTACAAATGCCCATAGCAGATACTTGTAGATTTAGAAAACTTAGACATTACAGATAAAAAGACGACTGAAGCAATCTTTCAGAGTTAATTTAACATGAGCAAGTCTTAATGGTAGCTTAGGAGCCAGAGCTTCATACAATCATTGTTTGTTTATCATGAGAGGGAACCATCAAATTTTCTACAAAAGAATCAATAACAGAAACATAAGTGTGCACGGAAGAACTGTAGATTTGCAAAGCAGCTCTGTTCTTTCTTAAATTTAGCAATCTACCAGTAGGCAAGTGGTAGCAGCAAGAAATTAATTCTGTCATGAATTCATGATTCTACAAAAGAATCAACAACAACAGCTGGAGGAGAAAAATTGAAATTGAAATTGCAATCAGTAATAGTAATACCTAATCAGGTTGAAGGAATGAAAGAAGAGACACTCTAGTGTAGTCTAATATGATGCCCATTAATGCGTATGTCGGAAATGTGGGAAATCTTGTGCCAATCTTCAACTAGCGACGTAAATCCCAGCAGAGGACATCTGCGGATTTCAAGAGAAGAAAGGGAGGAGGGCAGCCCCTTTTGTGGCAGGAACTGGAGCTCCGGGCAATCAAAAATACGGAAGTCTGTTAGAGAGGTGAGTTGTTGAATCCCGTCATTCAGAGCTTTCAGATTTTTGAAATGTGATATCTCAAGATATGTAAGAGTGGAGGGCAGCATATTGTCCTCTGGGAAGGATTCAACTCCTTCATTCATCGAAATTTCAAGTCTTGAAAGAGAAGGATGTGAATGCAAATTCCATTGCATGCGACCTGCAATCAGTTTGTTGCAACTCCATATGCTAAGAGATTGCAATTTTGCGGGCAGTCCACTTTCTGGAAACGACTCTACTTCTGGAAGGTCAGCCAATGACAAATACTCCAGGGAAGGGACATCAATCTCTTCTAGAGAAGTGGAACGACCAGCATTCATGACTCCCATCCATTCAGGAAACCTGGTACCCCCATAACCATATATCTCGAGAGATTTCAAATTTGCATGAGGCTCTAATTTCTCAAGCACGTTTCTTTCAAGTTGTGATTCATCAGTATCACCGTCCCATCTCAACTGCAACCCCTCAAGCTGCTTCTTAACTTTCAAATCGGCTTCTGCAGCATCTTGAGGATTCACAACATTTTGAAGATTCCAAATACAAATACTTTCCTGTAGATATTGAAGCTTCCCCAACTCGTTAATGCTTGAACCACTCTGTTTTCCAAGGAAGAAATCAGTCAACTTTTGGAGCTTTGTTAGTTTACCCATACCTGATGGCATCTCGGACAACTTTGTCGCTTCTATATCAAGTTGATTAGCCTTCCCATACCAGCTGGCAGCTCTATGAGATCTTCGCACTCCTCCAGGTCTAAAGTTTGCAAATTATACAAATCACTCATGGATTCTGGTAATCTTTTGATTTTGGCGAAGGTAAGAGTCATGTTTTGTAGACGCTTCAAATTGCCAATTGAATCAGGCAACTCAACAAACTCCCTACAGCCGCTCAATATCAGTGTTTGCAAATTATACAAACAACCCATGGATGCAGGCAACCGTCTGATTGATGTTCCTCTGAGATTCGCATACCGTAAATGCTTCAAATTCCCAATTGAATCAGGCAACTCAACAAGCTCGCTACACTGTTCCAAGATCAATGATTGCAAATTGTATGCAATACCAACAGCCTCAGGCAACTCTTTTATCGATGTCCACTCAAGATTTAGATAGCGCAAATGCTTTAACTTTCCCATTGAGTGAGATAACCCAGCTGCACTGGAACAACCACTCAAGTATAGCACTCGCAGCCGTTCAAGTCTTGGTAATAAATCATGTATTCCCTTATCTCTTCGGATGTTGTGCTGCCGTTCTGACAATAGAATGAAAGTGCGCAAAAGTTCCGCTTCATAGATCCTCGCAAATTTATGAGAGACGTCATAGTTTGTCCCTGCATATGGAAAATGACGAGCCTTTTTGCCAATCTTGTTTGGTTCAACATCCTCCAACAGGAAGCAAAATTCTCCGGATACAAATTTCGCTAAATCATGGATGAGGTCGTGCATAACAAATGATAATGGATTATGAATTGAATATCGTTGAAAAAAAGATCTGGATACAAGATCATGAAAGCACTCATCACCTACATCTTCAATCACCTCCTCTCCTTTGTGTGCGACAAGAAAACCCTCTGCCATCCATAAACGGATTAATTCATCCTTACTAAATTGATAGTCTTTGGGAAATATAGAACAACAAGCAAAGCACTGCTTTAGTTGGGATGGTAGATAATAGTAGCTCAGTGCTAGAGCTGGAAGAACAGGATCTTTTGGTGAATTCCACATCTTGCTCTTCAGCAATTTCTCCCATTCTTTTGCATCTCTTTTAGAGCGTAAGAGACCTCCAAGCGCTTTCGCAGCCAAAGGTAAGCCATCGCTTTTTCTTACTATGTCTTTGCCAATTTCTTCCAAATCTGGATGAGCACTAGAACTTCCATCTTCAAATGCCTGTTTTGCAAACACCAACCAACAATCTTCTTCGATCAATTTCTGTAGATGATGAGTTGGAACAGTAGATTTGACTAATGCTACAGCATCATTGCGTGTTGTAACGATAATCTTACTCCCCTCTCCGACAGACTTGAAAGGTATCAATAAAGAGTCCCACACTTCTTGATTCTCACTCCAAACATCATCTAATACAACCAAAACCTTTTCCCTTGATGTTCTATCCTCCAGCTCACGATGAAGCTGATTTGCAGTCATGGCCTCGCAATTGGCTAAACTGGCTGGACTGACTTCCTTCATAATGTCTTTTATTATTTTGAGAACATAAAATTCCTCCGAAACACAGACCCATGCCTTGAGATCAAACCGCTGCAGCACTCTGCTATCATTGTAGATAAGTTGAGCAAGAGTGGTTTTACCCACCCCACCCATACCCACTATGGGGATCACATCTAGTTGCTTGCCATTTGCATCTTCAGAAAGCACCAACTTTATTATGGCTTCCTTGTCACCTTCTCTACCATAAACAGCATGTTCATCCAACAGAGAAGTTGTTGCCATTTTTTGTGCTGCTGATGGTTTTTCTCCAATGCCCTCTCGTAGGCCAAGAGCATCTTTTTGTTGTATTAAATCATCAAGTCTCTCGAGAATCTCTTCTAACTTAGCTACCATGTCTGCCTTCTCCCTCTCAAATGGACTATGAGAAGATAAAAATTCCAGCACCTGATTTGTGCTGGTCTGAGAGCTAGCTTCCTCCAGTCGATGAGCTTCATAAGCAACCTCATCCAAAAAGTCATCGGCTTCATAAACAGCATCTTTAAGCTCGTCAAGCCACTCTTTCACAAAAGAGTCAGTGATCTGCTTTGATTCAGCATCGTTGAGCACTTTATTAACGGTAATCATCCGCATCTTCAACTTCTTAAGCACCTTCTCATTGAGTTTTTGGCTTTTGAAGAAGTTTAGAATCTGGCGAGAAGCCAGTCTATCGAACAAAACCTGGAGCGATGCGGACAGAAAAGCTCCTCCTACCAACTCAGCAGCCATGATTTGGTTTGCACTGTCTCCAAAACGGTGTGGATGTCAAAAGGAGAGAACTCGTGAAGGAAAGGAAGATCAAGAAGAAGAGGGAAGCGAAATTATGCTCTGTTTCTTACTCGTAGAGTTCCATGGCGTTATTATATAATTATGTAAGGTTTAATACCTTACGAATTTGATTTCTTAAGCTGACTGGAAAAAATATTGCCTCTTGAAGAAAAAATATGTAATAATCATTGACACACAAATATTAGGTGCCGGATAAAACCTGCGAAGCAATTAATATAAGACCTAACTGCTTGAAGAAAAACAATGGGGTCAGTTTCCTACCAACAATTTAAAAATTTTCCGATGGTTCTAAAGCGAATTCTTTCTGCACAAACAAACATGGATTGCAGAGGAACCCTGGCGTGCTACAAAACATTATTAGATATTTAGCTAGTGGATGGAAAAATGTAAATCATCTTGAGAATTGGCAGGTAATATGGTCACTTCAAAGAAATTTTCAAGGCATTAAATCTATATTATCTTGAGATATTTCTAATGAACCTAATGTCACATGATTAAACTTTTACAAGTGGATGAAAATAAAATTGGCATGAGCCACCATAGTCATATACAGGCAGCTATAAACATAAGATAAATACTTGGCTGGTAAAATGTTCACTTCAGACACTATTATTATATTTCTTGCTGGCTGTTTCTCTTGCAAAAGCTATTCCTTTCACATGATTATTTAAATAAATGAGTTGATTAATTTTGTCTTATTCTCCAAATGCTATGAAGCTAAACTCCGTAGGATTCTCTTTCTACTTTCTCTGTTTTTTATGCAGGAGCATATATGCGGCCTCAATTTCTACAATTTATTTTTTCCAGGAGTCTTATTTGATGTGGTTTCAATAAAACTTTTCGCACGACTAGTAGATTTCATAGCGTCTTTTAAATTCTTATCTTGAAAACATGCTATAGCTTTAATTGTTAAGAAGTGCAATGAGCATTTTTTGTACTATTTATACTTGAAATCAGAATGAAAGAATCAGACTTTCATTTGAACAAAAAACTTTTATCTAGCAAAAATCCTTGCTTGGAGTTCCTCCTAAACCAATCGAACAAGTGGCTTGGTCACGTCGAGTGGCTTCTGCTATTAGTAGTGTTGAGTGGCATTCGCTACCTTTGATTGAGTGGCTTTTGCAATTAGCAGTGTTGTTGGTGAAAAAACACTAATCGCTTAAGCAAGTCATCTTGAATTCAAGTCTTTCTCGTATGTAAAAAAACTCTTTAGGTAACTATCTTCATCTTGTGCATTTGACACAACAATGATGAGTTAGTCTAGATCTTTGGACCTATAATAGCCTTGAGGATCTAAAAAAAATAGAAAGAGTGGATAAGTCAACAAATTAATTAGAAGTTGTACCATGATTCTAGATTTGTTCTAATAAGTTAGTCTAGATCTTTGTACCTGTAATAGCCTGGAGGATCTAAAAAAAATAGAAAGAGTGGATAAGTCAACAAATTAATTAGAAGCTGTACCATAATCTTGGATTTGTTCTATTTGCCTTGGTCATCAAATCTAAGACATTGTTCTTTTAAAACAAATTTAAGGTGTGAATCTAGTGTTAATGTATATATGAAAATTTGAAATCTAATCAAGAAAATCACCCTATAAAAAATAAAAAATAAAAAATAAAAAATGGCAGTCTTTGATTTTGAGGGTTTGAAATGCCTTTAAAATCACGTATAATTATTTTCCTGCTCAATTCGAAAAAAGTGAATTGTTCTCTTTAAACTTATGGGCATAGCTGTTTCGAAAGTTCAAGGCTAGGCCCGATGTCGAATAAGGCCCAAGACTAATTAGATAAAGTCCATAACATAAGTAAAAACTATATATAGAATTTTTCAATTTATTTTAAAAAATAAAAAGGAAATAAAATATAAAAAGATTAATGAAAAGACAAGATATTTTTTGAAACAAAGTAATATTAAATTAATTTTGATCTACACTAGTTAAAAGATTAATAAATTAACTTTTGAAAACTAACCTAAATTAGGGCAGCCTCAAGCTGCTAATCCTTCCACTTTTCTATCAGCAATCAACAACCAAAGCATTTTTTTTTGTTTTCTTTTAATATGCAGACTTGAACAAGGGCAACATCAATTCTAGCATCAATTGTCAGTTACATAGAATTAACCTCTATTTGTGCATGAAGATTTTTAGGCATTTCTGGATCAAACCAATTCAGTATTTTTTTTTTTAATATATATATATATATAAGCATTAACATCAAAATAAATAACAGAATTGAGGTAAAATTGATAAATAAATTATTCATAAATTATAATGCAACATGGCGAGAAGCCATCCGTAAGGATTTGTAATTCAATTGAATGTTTACGATTTAAACATGAGAAGGACCTGAATGTATTTACGGGTTTCAATCGTATGTAAAAACATATCATTCCACTTGGTTAAAATGATGGCATTGAGCTAATGCTTGACTTAATTTGGCAGCGTTTTGACTGCTACGCTGGCGGTCGTGCTAGTGTTTGACTTTCCTATAAAGGACCTGGGTTTACTTAGGTTACTTAGGCTAAGTCTTGGGCCTAATTATTGGAAATTTCTCCTCTGTAACAGTTTAGGCTCATCCACCACCTGAGGCTGATACGGCCTCCATTGTCAGCAGGACTAATTAGATAAAGTGGGCCATCAAGATTGCTAGTTAGGAAGTTCGGGCCTAGGTCCAATGT